CTAACTAACTAACTAACTAACTAACTAACTACCTAACTAACTAACTAACTAACTAACGAACTAACTAACTAACTAACTAACTAACTAACTAACTAACTAACTAACTTATATGCCGCCCACACTATCCGAAGGTTTCTGGGGGGCTTAGAACATTTAAAATACAAAAAAAGAAGGAAAAGAAAGAAGGAAAGAAAGAAAGAAATGCAATTAAAATGCCAGGGTCTTCTAGATAGCAGGTACTCAGGAATGGTTTGTTATTCCCTTTTTCTGGGGACACTCTGAGAAGTATGCAGCTTGTCCAAGTTTACACAGGTGATATGTCCTGTCCCAGGAGCCACAATGAAGAATCAAACTCCCAGATTCTCACTCTAGAGTCACGTGCCTAATTCAGCTGAGCTATCTGGTCAGTATATGTTGCGACGCCTGGCTGCATTTGTCCATGACCAGGATGGGAAACCTCTGACCCAGACACAATCCACAAGTGGGTTCCCTATCCATACCACAAATGCTTCTTCACTGATCTCCAATAATAAGTGATGATCCGGTATAAAGGTGTATTTAAATTTTAAGTACTCTGCATAGAGTTGAGCTGTTGCATGAAATAAAACTGGTACATGGAACAGAACTGTATTTTTTAGCAGTCAGGGTCTTGCACTGTGGTTTATTCCTGAGGAGTTGTACAGTCAAGCGAGCTATGCTTGGTATGCTTGGTGTAAAACTGCCAGAATTGATACGAATTGACACACCTGCCCCTCTTCTCCTCACTTTGACCTATTCTGTTCTGGGCTTAATTCCTGTCTTCTACTGGAGAGTAGATCCCACTTGGAATATGACCAGTGGGTTGAATAAGTTTTCCTTATCCTTGATTAGTGCCATAAAAGCTTTGCTTCTGTATAAAATGCTGAAGGGAAGTTTTAGAACTAGAAAAGTGCGATGGCCTTATGGTAGCATATTGTGTACCTGTTTTTCAAAGACTGTTTCCAGGCAGACTAAAGAATCCATTCCCAGTCCCAGTGAGCTGTTTATTTATATACATTTTATATTTCATGGGCTTGTTCTATCAGTAACAGTTCTTCCAAGTCTGATATTTCATAGCATTAAAAAAAAGTATTTTCCTCCCCTCTAGATCACAGCATTATCATTATTAAAAAGGGAAGATTTCTCCAGCCTTAGCAGTTTGTTGAGGCGGGAATTCAAATACCTCAGTCGCCTTGTGATATTACTAGGATGGACTCAATGTCGTAGTATTGAATCAGCAAAAATGCTGCTCTGGACTCTTCACAAATCTCAGGCAAGTAAGACCTCACCAGGCATCTGGGGAGGGCACAAGCACTTTCTCTGCTTGGATTCTGGTCAGTTTTTTGGATGGAGAATTAGAGGTAATAGTTTTTTTTTAACAAACCTGACATAATTTCCTGTTTGCCTCTTTCTTTCTAACAGGACTCCTTCAATGACTCAGTATTAAAAGATTTCTGTGATGGGCTGTGCACTCAAGTTGAAGTTCTCGAGTGGTGCATACAACAAAATAGGTAACAGCATGGAAATATTTGGCCAAATCCTTTTGACAAAGGCCTCTTCTCCACATTTGAGAACAATTTGCAGTGAGACATTTCAAAAACATTTTTTTTATCATGGCTTTAATGTGATTAAGAAGGGAAGGTTTCTCCAGCCTTAGCAGTTTGTTGAGGTGTGAATTCAAATACCTCAGTCACCCCAGTGAGACATAATGAATGTGACATTTAGTAGCATGTGCAGACTCAATGCATGTTAGGCGACTGGCCATAATTATAGGGTGGAGGTGGCATACCCTTCTCTAGGAGCAGGTGCTGCTTCTTTAATGCTCATGTCTCCCTTTTATTTCTCCTGTAGTTAGTTCCCTTCTTCTGTTCAGCTGAATTCTCTTGCTCAGAGAATTAAATTTCTATTCTCTGTCACACTTCTACATTGCACTTATTTCTTTCCTCCTTGTCACTGCAGTCTTAAAATAATGAAAGACATTCATAGTGGACTAATAGCTGCATGTGTTTCAGATAAAAGAGGCAAAATCTGTTATCTGTCCATGGAGGTAATGGGAAAGTGAAAGATATTTGTATGCTTAATGCATGTAGTAATTTGCTGTTTATTGGAAGTTTGCTACAAATTTGTTGCTACAAAACTTCTTGTTTCTATGTCATATACACTCCCTAAGTTTAGGTGACAGGAAAATGCTCCCACATGTATATCTGGCTTTAATCTAAGTGCTAGTTCCAGCTATAGAAGGACCATTAAATGAACTACAGAATGGTAGCATCAGAAGCAACTTGACGCTGCATAATAAGTCAACATTTTATGTACATTCTGTAGCTTCAAAGGGTCTGCGCCGCTTGTCTTTGACGCAAGTGAGTTCTGACAACTTTCCATTGCTTGGATGGTTCAAGAAATACTTCTTTAAAAAGAAACCAACTTTATGCTAACTGATCTGATCTGGGTTTGGAATATTTTGAATGTTTTTAGTTTAATACACAATATGGGGATAGTAAGTAATTTCAAAGCTCTGAAAGTATGCTTTCTTTCTTTTTCAGTAATATTATCCCAGAGAAGATTCTTCTGCAGTACTTGCACAATTTGGACTGCCACTCTTCCTTATACCTTCTCCATCATCTTACCAATCTGTTGATGTTGAATGAAGAAGCTGTCATTGAGCTTCTGCAGAAAATTCCAGGCAAGGCCACAGAAGCGGAAGGTAAATTGTGTAAGCGACATATATAGCCATCTAATACAGGGATTAAAATGCCAGGGTCTTCTAGATAGCAGGTACTCAGGAATGGTTTGTTATTCCCTTTTTCTGGGGACACTCTGAGAAGTATGCAGCTTGTCCAAGTTTACACAGGTGATATGTCCTGTCCCAGGAGCCACAATGAAGAATCAAACTCCCAGATTCTCACTCTAGAGTCACGTGCCTAATTCAGCTGAGCTATCTGGTCAGTATATGTTGCGACGCCTGGCTGCATTTGTCCATGACCAGGATGGGAAACCTCTGACCCAGACACAATCCACAAGTGGGTTCCCTATCCATACCACAAATGCTTCTTCACTGATCTCCAATAATAAGTGATGATCCGGTATAAAGGTGTATTTAAATTTTAAGTACTCTGCATAGAGTTGAGCTGTTGCATGAAATAAAACTGGTACATGGAACAGAACTGTATTTTTTAGCAGTCAGGGTCTTGCACTGTGGTTTATTCCTGAGGAGTTGTACAGTCAAGCGAGCTATGCTTGGTATGCTTGGTGTAAAACTGCCAGAATTGATACGAATTGACACACCTGCCCCTCTTCTCCTCACTTTGACCTATTCTGTTCTGGGCTTAATTCCTGTCTACTCCTGGAGAGTAGATCCCACTTGGAATATGACCAGTGGGTTGAATAAGTTTTCCTTATCCTTGATTAGTGCCATAAAAGCTTTGCTTCTGTATAAAATGCTGAAGGGAAGTTTTAGAACTAGAAAAGTGCGATGGCCTTATGGTAGCATATTGTGTACCTGTTTTTCAAAGACTGTTTCCAGGCAGACTAAAGAATCCATTCCCAGTCCCAGTGAGCTGTTTATTTATATACATTTTATATTTCATGGGCTTGTTCTATCAGTAACAGTTCTTCCAAGTCTGATATTTCATAGCATTAAAAAAAAGTATTTTCCTCCCCTCTAGATCACAGCATTATCATTATTAAAAAGGGAAGATTTCTCCAGCCTTAGCAGTTTGTTGAGGCGGGAATTCAAATACCTCAGTCGCCTTGTGATATTACTAGGATGGACTCAATGTCGTAGTATTGAATCAGCAAAAATGCTGCTCTGGACTCTTCACAAATCTCAGGCAAGTAAGACCTCACCAGGCATCTGGGGAGGGCACAAGCACTTTCTCTGCTTGGATTCTGGTCAGTTTTTTGGATGGAGAATTAGAGGTAATAGTTTTTTTTTAACAAACCTGACATAATTTCCTGTTTGCCTCTTTCTTTCTAACAGGACTCCTTCAATGACTCAGTATTAAAAGATTTCTGTGATGGGCTGTGCACTCAAGTTGAAGTTCTCGAGTGGTGCATACAACAAAATAGGTAACAGCATGGAAATATTTGGCCAAATCCTTTTGACAAAGGCCTCTTCTCCACATTTGAGAACAATTTGCAGTGAGACATTTCAAAAACATTTTTTTTATCATGGCTTTAATGTGATTAAGAAGGGAAGGTTTCTCCAGCCTTAGCAGTTTGTTGAGGTGTGAATTCAAATCCGTCAGTCCCCCCAGTGAGACATAATGAATGTGACATTTAGTAGCATGTGCAGACTCAATGCATGTTAGGCGACTGGCCATAATTATAGGGTGGGGGTGGCATACCCTTCTCTAGGAGCAGGTGCTGCTTCTTTAATGCTCATGTCTCCCTTTTATTTCTCCTGTAGTTAGTTCCCTTCTTCTGTTCAGCTGAATTCTCTTGCTCAGAGAATTAAATTTCTATTCTCTGTCACACTTCTACATTGCACTTATTTCTTTCCTCCTTGTCACTGCAGTCTTAAAATAATGAAAGACATTCATAGTGGACTAATAGCTGCATGTGTTTCAGATAAAAGAGGCAAAAATCTGTTATCTGTCCATGGAGGTAATGGGAAAGTGAAAGATATTTGTATGCTTAATGCATGTAGTAATTTGCTGTTTATTGGAAGTTTGCTACAAATTTGTTGCTACAAAACTTCTTGTTTCTATGTCATATACACTCCCTAAGTTTAGGTGACAGGAAAATGCTCCCACATGTATATCTGGCTTTAATCTAAGTGCTAGTTCCAGCTATAGAAGGACCATTAAATGAACTACAGAATGGTAGGTCTTTTAGACCAGATGGGCGGGGTATAAATCAAATAAATACATGAATAAATAAATAGGTTGATACAAGAGAGCCATTGTGTCAGAATGCATCTCGTAGGATTCAGGAATACTAGTTCAAACACCTGCTCAGTCATGGAATTTCAAAGTGGGTGGGTGTGGCAATGGTAATCTACTCCTAGAATATCTCATATATTTTGAAAACCCTGCTAGGATTGCCAGCATCAGAAGCAACTTGACGCTGCATAATAAGTCAACATTTTATGTACATTCTGTAGCTTCAAAGGGTCTGCGCCGCTTGTCTTTGACGCAAGTGAGTTCTGACAACTTTCCACTGCTTGGATGGTTCAAGAAATACTTCTTTAAAAAGAAACCAACTTTATGCTAACTGATCTGATCTGGGTTTGGAATATTTTGAATGGTTTTAGTTTAATACACAATATGGGGATAGTAAGTAATTTCAAAGCTCTGAAAGTATGCTTTCTTTCTTTTTCAGTAATATTATCCCAGAGAAGATTCTTCTGCAGTACTTGCACAATTTGGACTGCCACTCTTCCTTATACCTTCTCCATCATCTTACCAATCTGTTGATGTTGAATGAAGAAGCTGTCATTGAGCTTCTGCAGAAAATTCCAGGCAAGGCCACAGAAGCGGAAGGTAAATTGTGTAAGCGACATATATAGCCATCTAATACAGGGGTGACAAATACAGCCATATAGATGTTAGAGATGGAGTAACCCAATAAAGGAACCCACAGCCTTGAGTTAGCAAGAGCAAATCAGGTCTGTTGATGATAGAATTTTTGGGTAGTCACTTATTCGTGGGGTTGCCATAAGTTGCAAATTACTTGACAGCACATAATGTTGTTGTACTGCAGCTCCCAGTAATTCTACCCAGCCGGGCCACTAATGCCACTTTGTCTGCTCTTGATTTATTATCTCATCTCCCTGCTCCTGCCTGTAGAAGTTAGATACAGTTTGTTTTTAAGTGGTTAATAGCATTTAATAGGAGTAATCTCTACCTGTCTCTTAACAAAATTTGGGGAATTGCATCAAGGCATAATGTGCTATACTGATTCAAGGATAGCTGAAGAACAAAATGGGTATATTAGATCAGTGGGTTCCTTGATTTACTGATAGAAATACTACAGAGAGAAGTGGCCCATGACCTTAATGCTGTTATCTTTCGCCATACAAATAAACTGCTATTTGTTAGTCCTCATAAATGTATATGGCTGCCACTTATTTGGTCTTGTGACTGGAATATATGTCTTGATTGTTGGATCCAGAAACTACTGAAATGTATTTCCTCCCCTGTATCTAACTGAATTAACATTCATTATTTAATATCTTTTTAGGTTCAGCAGTGGTGCCAGTTTCTGCTCTTGTGAGCCAGCAACGCAATCTCATTCTTTTTCAGGCATTTTGTGCCATGAAATATGCTATCTATGCACTCTGTATCAACGCACACAAAGTTTCGGACTGCAAGGACTGCACAAGATTCTTAATCAGAGATCTCTCTGATAAGTCACCTGAGGAAAATGAATCTGCAGATCAGCCTCTTAGTCCAGGTCTGGCAGCTTGTGGATAGGTCCTATCACATTCAGTGATGTTTTCCATTCCCTGTGCACCTGCTTTTTTTAACAGACTTCTTACTTTAGACTTCCTTGTCCCAGTGCTTGTTGTCTACTTTTACTCCTTTCTTATAGAATTTCATAAGGGCTAAAACATTAAGGGAAAGGCTTATTCTTAAAGCAACATGTGTAGCATGCAGGAGGTCCTATGTTTTTGCCTGGCATTTTGAGGTAAGACACAGGGAAATTCCTGTCTGAAAGACTTCCTTGTCCCAGTCCTTGTTGTCTACTTTTACTCCTTTCTTATAGAACTTCATAAGGGTTAAAACATTAAGGGAAAGGCTTATTCTTAGAGCAACATGTGTTGCATGCAGGAGGTCCCATGTTTTTGCCTGGCATTTTTAGGTAAGACACAGGGAAATTCCTGTCTGAAAACTTGAAGGGCTGTTGACAGTCAGTACATACCTTACTAAGTAGACTTGATCGGCAATCTCGGCTCAGTGTAAAATAGCAGTCTGTGTTCCTGTTTTGGAGAATGGATACTGTTGCTTAATGCCTAAATTCAGTTGCTAAACTCAGCTAGAGTGGATCCAATGAAGCAATGAAAACTTGGTAAATCAACACTCAGTAAGTTTAATTGATTCAGTTCGTAAATACATGTTGATTTCCAGCCATTTTTTATTTTGTGATTGTATTGGCAACATCAGGAGTGTTGTTAAACCATGCCATCAAATGCAATCACTATAAGGTGCTTTAAAAAAAACCTCTTCAGGCATGTTTAACATTACATGGTTGAATATTAAAATTGCACATTCTTTATCTTCCAAAAGTGTAGTTGTGTTAGCCAACTGCATCAAAACTAACAAAGACTCATGTGGCACTGTAGAAATGAATTTTAAAATAAAAAAAAAATTTAAAAAATAAAATTAATTTTAAAAAGTAAAAATTTAATACAGCTGATACAGTTGGTCATGCGGTAATAATGGGATGTGTCATAGGACATTTAATTTGTTTTTTTTTAACATTATTTTGAAAGTGGGGATAGGCAGATTCCCCCCCCCCCCCTTTCCCAC